AGGATGAGGGAGAAAGCGGCGGCGGCGGCGGCGGCGGCGGCGGCAGCGGCAGCGATGGAGGAGACGCGACGGAGAGTGAGAAGGACGCGCGAGGGTTGGGGGTATATAACGCGACAATTGCCGGATGCGACCGTTCGTGCGAATTGCGCGCGGGGAACTTAGGTACCGTGTACGCGAATCTCCGCGAGGAGGAGATGCAGGCGGGAGAGGGAGGGGGGAGGGGATGGAATGATGGGAGGACGAGCGGTGGTAGAGATGAGTGCGAGGAGGGCTCGAATGCGAACGAGGGTGAGGGGTTGTATAGATACGTCCCTGCGGCGGTGGTTTGTAATATTATGATAACCCTCCCTGCCTACGCCTGGCTGCCTTCCTCCCTCCTACTCTCTCTCTCTCTCCCTCTCACTCTTTCTCTCTCTCGTTCTCGCTCTCCCTCTCGCTTCCCTTCTACGCGTACACCAGGCGGCCACCCTCTTTCAGCGGCCATGTTGCCGGGAAATATGATTATTGTTATTATTTGCACCCTCCTTCGGTCGTATCCTCCTGACTCCTCACCTCTTCGTAACAGTCCCATCATCCTACCGGCGTGGCTGCCTCCGTTCTCTCTTTCTCCATTCCCCCCTTTTCTCTCTTTCTCTTTATTCCTCTCGCGCAGCATCCCCGCAGTCGTGCCATCCTGCGTAATGCTTCGCAGCTCTCTCCTCTGTACTCCCCTTCTCGTCACGCGGATCTCTTTCCCTCTCCCGCCCGCGCCGCCGACTCTCGCGTCATCCTGCGACTCCATTCTCCCGCACCCCCGTTCTCCGTGTGTAGATTTCTCTCCGCTGCCGCTGGCCGACGAATTGAGAGGAAACGAACGAGAACAGGGCCGAAGCAACCGCCCGTCAACCGAGACCACTTTCCTCTCTCGCCCCCTTCGTCTTTCGTCGTGTATCCACGTCGTCCTTTCTGCCATCCTTCTCCCCCTTACCTGCGGTCGCCCGGAAAACTTTACAATGCGAAATGATATCCCTGCAGCGCATCGCACTTTTTGGCTCGCTCTTTCTCTATCTGTCTTTTTACCTTCCTTTGTCTTTCTCCCTTTATCTTTCCTGTGGTTGCGCGTGGGCTCACTTTTTTCGTCGTTCTCGCTTCCTCATTCGCTCGTTGCGCCTCCCCCGCAGCAGCTTTCCGCGCGCGATTCATTCCAACTCGTCCCTGCGGAAACGTTTCATCGACCGCCATTCTCGGCTTTTTTTCCTTCGGGCTTTTTCTCGCCTCCTCGAACTTTTCTCGCGTGTCTAATATCAAGGCTATTTTTCAGCGGGCGAAAAATCCCGCGTGAAAATTGCCGCGTCGTACGCATTAAATACCGCTGCTTGCGATCAATATAGAAGAACTTGCGTGATATTATCGCGAGAAAAACTGTATTGCATTTAAAAGAGTCGCAGTTACGGGTTGTGTAAAAATAAAAATTTTAAAGCACGATAATTGTATGTTATGTAACATTTTAGTATAATTTATCTCATTATCGTAGGCATAAAAAACTTTTTCGTTTCCTTATACAAAATATTGTCTTGTGATGTAGCAATTACAATTTTTAACTCTTCAGAAAGTACACAGTTTAGTATGTTAATTTTAAATAGCACGCGTCGTGAAAAGTAAGTGCGCAGCTCACGTTGCAAACAATACCGTGACTTTTCCTGATGCAAGCATGTGCAAGTTAATTATCACACTCAGTTGAAAAATAAATACACAAGCTTTAGCTTTAGCGCGAGTTGCGTCAGAAATATACAACGCACATTTGAATTTTAAACGCACATTTAGCGCTAAATGTAGCCATCTAATTCTCATTGCGTTGTCCCATTTCATCTGTTTACATTGCGCGTATGCGATTTTCATATTAAGCACATAAGCATAGAATCTGACACATTTAGTGTTAAATGTAAAAGGAAATGAAAGAATCATAATTTTCAGGGGAAATTAGAGTATGTTTGACAAAGAATGTTGCACGATCCGCTTCCAAAGCGTCTCTTGCAATATCACTTTATAGTTCTCATTATAAAAAAAGGGCTCGATAATTCGTGCCTCTAAACAAATAGAAATGGTAGTCATTTTAAAGAGACATATATAGCTCTGATACACGTAATTCGTCGTAAACTCGCTTAATCGTGTTATTTGAGTCTCTCGCCGTAAACCGCGGGCGTAGGTATATGTATAACAGTAAGCGTTGAAGATAATAAGGTGCTCAGGAATAGTGTGAAACAAAGGAAATGTTAGGCGTAATTGAAAACTAAGTGAAAATAAACCGTAGAAAATAAAAACAGAAAAAGCGATGCTGGGAAGTTCATTTTGGGAGTCAATTTTCGCTCTAAATTATTCAGGAAATTTGTCGAACTTGTTGATAATGCGTGAACAATATGAGAATATTATGAATATAATGCGTTTCTTCGAAAAATTGTATCTTCTAAATTTTAAGCGAATACAGAATAATAGCACGTCCTGAACAATCGCGGCTCTCGTATTCGTAATTCTCTGCAAACATGATTAATATTATTCGCGGTTGAGAAGTAGATACCGGTGGTACGTTTCAGATGTAACAGATGTACCTTTACTACGTACAATTCTCGTAGAATAATAATGATTACGGGACAATGTTGGAAAACGAAAGGAAAGAGATGAAAAAAAATGATGGAAGATAGGTATCGAGGAACAGTAGGAGAAAGTGCGACAATAATGAAAAAAGAAAAGATACGATTAAAATAAAGCAAGATTAAGAAGAAGACTCTGAAAACAAAGTGTAATGAAGTTGGCATGTTGGTCGTGATAACGGTAACACATAAACACAATACGAGAGTGTTCATTAGTTAACTGCCGCTTGTTTCGGGAGCTGCTCGATCGCTGTTAAATCTAGACGAATAGAGCGCAGCGACGCGCTGCTGTACGGAGACATAGCTCCTAGTATGAGTAATTCTCTGTAAACTCGACTAATCGTGTTATTCGAGCCACTCGAGTCGGGCACGCGTAGTTATGTAATGATAGCGTTAAAGCGTTAATAAGGATCGCGGCTTGAGAACGGAACGAAGAAACGAAGGAAATACGCGGGCGGTGCGCGCCTAGCGCGCCGAAGGTGGTATAAGGCAAGAAGAAGGGATGAACGGTGGAAAACGGTGAAGGATGAAAGGGAGCGCGGGGAAGGAAGTGGGGGCGGTTGGTCTTTCGGTCGTGGGTAGTCGCGGGAGTCGTGGTAATAAATGGGCAACACGAGCGCTTATAAGGGGTAGGTAATCTAAAGCTTTGGAGGCGGCGGCGCAACGGGGGCTGTCGAGAGAAAGGGCGGGCGAGAGGCGCGGGGGAGGTAAGGGTGAGACGAGGAGGAGGAGGAGGAGGAGGAAAAGGAGGAAGAGGACGATGAAGAGGTAGGCTAAGCGGGGCTACGGGGGAGAATGGCGTGTGTAGGGTGAGAGGGTCTGGTTGGAGGAAAGCATAGCGGAGGAAGGGGTGGATAAGGGTGGTTACGGGCGAGGGTGTGAGATAAGGTATAAGGTGGGTAAGATGGCGGACAATTTGCCGCTCGACTACTCTTGCCCGCACCCCTCCCTGGACGATTCCAACCTCCACTTGCTCCAGCCCCCCTTCCGGTCTATGTACCGGGTAATAGATGTTCCTCCTTCACGACCAACGCGGAGACGCTGAACGCGCGCGCAAAAGCGTACACCATCCTCCTTTATCTTGAATCGTAGTCTCTTCCCTCGCCATTGCCTTTCTCTCTCTCTCTCTCGCGACAAGACAGAGGAAGACAAGAGGACGAGGCGGCCGGGGAGGCATGAACGTGCGTGACGGTGAGAATTGCGCGTGCACGTGAGGCGCGCATGTACATACATACACGACCGAGAGAGTTGCGGCCGCGTTTCACCTACACGGAAAACTGCCGCTCTGACGGAGTACAATCGTCGGTGGGTACGTAGGTATTTAAACGTTCTCCACACACAGTCACCCGCTGCGCCGCCGTCGCGCTATCCGAACCCCGCCATCCCCTCACTTTCACCCCTTCTTCCCGTCCGCCCCCTGAGCCGTTTCCGTCGGCGTCCCCTCGGCAGACCGCACCAGCGTGCTCTCTCTTAGCATTCCATCCGCCATCTTCTCACTTAATAAAATAATTACCCCGGGCCAATTAAGCGTTCCCCTCTACGCCGTTCGTCCGTTTCCTTTATGTGGGATCCCGTGCGTTCTCCGTAGACGGCGCGCGGCTTTCGCCGATATAATATAGCGCAGCACGTTATTTGAGCGTTTATTTGTTATTGCTTTGCGTGGCCAAAATCTTAAGGAGTCTTTTAACTAATTGGCACGTTATATTTGTGCGCGTTTGCGCGACTAAACTTTAGCCTTATTATTAGCGCCGCAGATAGATTGCTATTGCTATATTTGATTGACTTTGCGTAATTATAGTACAATTTCGAATTGATACGACAAAATTTTAATAAAATCAAATTGCATTTTGTGTGAAAATTATCAAATCTATTTGTTAAAAGTGTGCGCAGAAAATTTTTGTATAAAATATGAATGGATACAACAGTTGTTTTTTTAGTTTTAAAATCTTTAAATATTTTTGGAGATGTCATTAATCCTTTGCGACACACACAAGTCAGAAAAATACAAAAAATTAATTTTTTTCAAATCAGTTAGTTAATTTGTAACTAACAACATATGTTCTTTCTCTCAATAAAAATGCAGTTAAAAATATGCATTCTACAGTACGCTACTACATCCGATTTGAAAATATTAAATATTAATCTTTCAAAAAATTGTACTTTAAAAATCTTGAAAAAAGTACATTAAACATTATGCATCACAAATGTATGTAAACATCACTTCAGCAGTGAACTCTCTTGATTATTCTTGAAGCTCTTACAATTATTTGCGCTTGATTTTATTAAGCAACACCTACCTTACTTTCCAACGATGAAGGGATATCGGTGAGAGCACTGAGAGCTGGTGGAGCTACGGAAACAGCTGTGTTCGAAGATGGCACCACTTCTAAATTCAATGCCTCATTGTAGTTCAATCTGATCCAAGATGTCTGCTGCGGCATTGACACGTCGCGTTTTTGGTCAACAAACATTTAATTTTATCGACTTAACGATTTCGGTGTTATCTCAGGTGCCAAGAAGGTACAAGTGGAAACTCGTGAAGCTGCCAAAACCGGGCATTGGCATAGGCTATCGAAGAACCGTCCATTACAAGGATGAATACACGGTGGAGCCTTTACAAGTAACCAATCTAGCAGGGAGAGATCCTGTCACAGGTACGTGAGACAATATCGTTATTCCAGCATCATCTTTCCCTTTTAAATTATACGCATGTAATATCTTACTCTTACTAGTAGTTTTTCCTACAAATTAATGGGGATAAACTCAACGCTGTTCAACTCCATGCTTGCATTGTCATGTAGATGGTTACTCTTGAAAACTCTGACCTCTGTTGACGAAAGTAGAAACCAGACAGTTTCTCTCTGGTGGTAACTGTTGAAAGATAATGCAGATAACTTATCGACTATTATGCTAGATTAGGCGCAATTTATTTAATTGAGAAAAATTTTTTATATTACGAATATTAAATTTAAAAAAATATATTTGAATATATATATATACATATTTATACACGGAGAGAATTTTTTTTTTAAATTTACCCTGCAAATCATGTTAATTGTGGGACAATATAGTATTTAGGCAAATTTTACTGTGCACTACAATAAATTTTACT